AAATATACTCTCCCAGATTTTTTACTTTTTCCCAGGTGTGAGCCACTGTGCCTGGCCCTGGAGTACTTTTTTAAAGGTCCCCTTCTACCTTTAGTCCTCTTTTTTTGATGTTGTTGATTTTTTTTTCTCTCTCTCTTTTGAGGGATATAGAAAGTGTAAAAAAAAGCCAGGGGTGTTAGTTTAATCCAGAATTCCATTTGGGTCTATAAAGACATATTAAAGACCTATTCTCTTTGTTTCTAGCACTGTACCTAAGAAAATAAACTAAATAAAATACTCAGTCTCTCATAAAAACTACAGGGACAAGACTTGGTTCATGAACATTTTATTTATATCGTCTAGAAAAACAGGCCAACTTCACAGCCAGGAAGCCACACAATTAAATCTCATTTTCAGCTCTAAGGTGAGGAAAATTACATTTTAGTTTAGCCTTGGGGGGTCAAAGGTTGCCATTTGAAGTACACCACCCAGCACTGGCCTCCCTTTGCTGTGTAGAAAGGGCCTTGCAGTTTCTGTTTTCCTTGGTTCTGAGACTTTACACTTTTCCAGTAAATGCGTAGATAAAAGTTGCTTTGGGGTCTTGCTTTGTGGCCCAGACTGGAGTATAGTGGTACAATCATAGCTGACTGTAGCCCTGACTTCCTGAGCTGAAGGGATCCTCCTGCCTCAGTCACCTGACTAGCTTGGACTACAGGCTCCAGCCACCATGACTGGCTAATGTTTAAATTTTTTACAGAGATGGTCTCACCATCTTGCCCAGGTTGGTCTCAAACTCCAAGTGATCCTCCTGTCTTGACCTCCTAAAGTACTGAGATTACAGGTGTGAACCACCATGCCTGGCCTGGAGTACTTTTTTTTCCCCCCCAAGATGTAGTTTTGCTCTTGTTGCCCAGGCTGAAGTGCAATGGCGTGATCTCGGCTCATTGCAACCTCTGTCTCCCAGGTTCAAGCGATTCTCCTGCCTCAGCCTCCCAAGTAGCTGGGACTACAGGCATGCACCACCACACCCGGCTAATTTTGTATTTTTAGTAGAGATGGGGTTTCTCCATGTTGGTCAGGCTGGTCTCCAACTCCCGGCCTCAGGCAATCCACCTGCCTCGGCCTCCCAAAGTGCTGAGATTACAGGTGTGAGCCACTGTGCCTGGCCCTGGAGTACTTTTTTAAAGGTCCCCTTCTACCTTTAGTCCTCTTTTTTTGATGTTGTTGATTTTTTTTTCTCTCTCTCTTTTGAGGGATATAGAAAGTGTAAAAAAGAGCCAGGGGTGTTAGTTTAATCCAGAATTCCATTTGGGTCTATAAAGACATATTAAAGACCTATTCTCTTTGTTTCTAGCACTGTACCTAAGAAAATAAACTAAATAAAATACTCAGTCTCTCATAAAAACTACAGGGACAAGACTTGGTTCATGAACATTTTATTTATATCGTCTAGAAAAACAGGCCAACTTCACAGCCAGGAAGCCACACAATTAAATCTCATTTTCAGCTCTAAGGTGAGGAAAATTACATTTTAGTTTAGCCTTGGGGGGTCAAAGGTTGCCATTTGAAGTACACCACCCAGCACTGGCCTCCCTTTGCTGTGTAGAAGGGGCCTTGCAGTTTCTGTTTTCCTTGGTTCTGAGACTTTACACTTTTCCAGTAAATGCGTAGATAAAAGTTGCTTTGAAAGCAAACCCAGGGAGCAAGGAAGGAGGAAGACTCTTCCCCATGAGGCTGAATTGGGCCTGAGAACGGATCCAGGGCTGGGCTGTTATGGGGACGCCCAAGGAAAGCTTCTAGAAGGACTTGGAGTTCTGTAGTTGGAGCGGAAGATGTTGATGATACTGCTGGGTACTATTCCTCTTTTCCCTGGCATCTTCACCACCATGTGCTTTTCTCCACCTTTCCATTTCTAGGTTAAAATCTGGTTTCAGAACCGCAGAGCGAAGGAAAGGAAAATCAACAAGAAGAAGTTGCAGCAGCAACAGCAGCAGCAGCCGCCGCAGCCGCCTCCGCCGCCACCACAGCCTCCCCAGCCTCAGCCAGGTCCTCTGAGAAGTGTCCAGGAGCCCTTGAGTCCGGTGTCTTCCCTGCAAGCGTCAGTGCCTGGCTCTGTCCCTGGGGTTCTGGGGCCAACTGGGGGGGTGCTAAACCCCACTGTCACCCAGTGACCCACAGTGGTCTGCAGCAGCAGAGCAATTCCAGGCTGAGTCATGAGGAGCGTGGACTCCGCAAAACTCCTCAGGAGAGACCCCTCCCCTCCCACCCACAGCCATAGACCTACAAACCTGGCTCTCAGAGGAAAAATGGGAGCCGGGAGTAAGACAAGTGGGATTTGGGGCCTCAAGAAATATACTCTCCCAGATTTTTTACTTTTTCCCATCCGGCTCTCTCTGCCACTGAGGAGACAGAGAGCCACCACTGGGCTTCATTCAGGACTGCCAGAAGCATTGCCTGGACCGACCACACCAACGAGGCCTTCAGCCTCCTCCCCAGCTCTTCTCATCCTAGATCTGCAGGCTGCACCTCTGGCTAGAGCTGAGGGGAGAGAGGGACTTAGGGGAACAGCAAGCTTGAGGCCAGCCTGCTCATGGCCCTCGGAGGTCCAGCTGGGCCTCCTGCCTCCGGGCAGGCAAGGTTTACACTGCAGAAGCCAAAAAGGCAGCTAAGATAGAAAGTTGGACTGACCAAAGACTGCAGAACCCCCAGGAGGCCTGTGTCTTTTTTCTCTTCCCTTCCCAGACCAGGAAAGGCTTGGCTGGTGTATGCACAGGGTGTGGTATGAGGGGTGGTTATTGGACTCCAGGCCTGACCAGGGGGCCCAAACAGGGACTTGTTTAGAGAACCTGTCACCAGAGCTTCTCTGGGCTGAATGTATGTCAGTGCTATAAATGCCAGAGCCAGCCTGGACTTCCTGTCATTTTCACAATCTTGGGGCTGATGAAGAAGGGGGTTGGGGGGTTTGTGGTGTTGTTGCTGCTGTTTGGGTTGTTGGTCTGTGTAACATCCAAGCCAGAGTTTTCAAAGCCTTCTGGATCCAGGGGGGAAGAAGTGATATGGTGAAGGGAAGTGGGGAGTATTTGAACACAGTTGAATTTTTTCTAAAAAGAAAAAGAGATAAATGAGCTTTCCAGATTTCAGATTCTGTATTTATCTTCAGATTTTGTCTGCAACTATTTTTTAAAGAAATGAAATATCTTCTTTGCTTGCGAGCTGATTTGGAAAATTCAGAGAGGGAGTGGAGATTATCAGGACAGGCTCATTTTACCCCAGAGCATCAGAAGCCTGAAGGAGCAGGTTCTGAGACCTTCCCTGCCCCCAAGCCTGAGCCCAGCCTAGGAATGCGTGGCTCTCCTGGGGGTGCCTTTGGGCAAAATGCACATCTGAATGGCCAGCTGCTTCCCAGCAGCTAGAAATTATGGGGGGTGGGGGTGAGAGGGCCCCCTCATAGCATCTCACTAAATCCACATGGAGGCTTTTTGCAAACAGCAGGCAGTTCCCTTGTGCAGTGACTCCCTCCTAAGGACACCCCACAACCCAGCTAGTTAAACGTGAGCATTAAATTTTTTTTAAAAATCCCCCTACTTTCCCAAGACAGCACTTCCATGAATTTAGTCTTCTGTAAATCACTGGGCATTTCTGTGAGCCCTTTCTACCTCCACTTTCTTCTGTCCTCGCAGTTTCCTTATCCCGGACCGCGCCCCACTTCCTACCCAATCACCCCACAAACAAGATTTCAAGACCCAATAGAAAATGATCCTTTTAGTGACAGTTGCTTGTCAGTTGGCCGATCCACTGGGCACCGGGGTGCAGTCTTTGAGATTTTTGATCCTGGAGGCCACCGAGCTCAGCGTTCTGGGCAGGACCTGGGCGAGGGGCGCTTAGCCCTTCGTTTCGATCTTCCCACCAACATCCGAGAGCCTAATCAGCGCGCCCACGGAGGCACCTTAAGGGCAGTTGGGGAGGATGAGCAGAGCCGGGAGACAGCAAGAGGTACAGACCCTCTGCAGCACCTCTCCAATTCCGCAGCCCTTCCGGGTGGCGTATACAGCTCCAGGATTGGGAAAGGGGCTCCGGTGGCCCGGCCCGCGGGCGCCTGGCCTCGAAACCAGAGGCAGGAGTGTGGGGCGTGGGGTTGGGGGGTGCCGGGCAGAGGAGGAAGCCTTGTCCGGGTCCGCTGGGCGAGGGGTCCCGGGTCAGGGCCGGTCTGAGCCCCGGTGCCCCGCAGGTCTCCCCGCGCCCCGGCCGCGCCCACACGCCCGCCCCCTAGCCACTGCGGTTGCTATGCGTTGCCGTGAAACGCCTGTCAATAAACCCTGTTTGGACAGTGGAGCAAGAGCACATGGGTTGTTTGCTTAGTGGTTAGAGGTTCAAAAGTCGACATTGTCCCGCTGCAAGCGATTACAAGTTCTTCCCCTTCCCGGGGCTAGGTCCCCTTGCACGCGGGTACGGGGCCAGGGAAAGGAGCTCGGCTGCTCTCTGAGATGCAAGCACCCGGCTCACTGCTGCGAGCGCCTGGCAAGCCTCCTGGGCCACGGAAAAAGGTGCAAAACCAGGACCCTCTCAGGCAAGTGAGGCCACCGCGCTTCTAACGTCAACTGTGTCACTCCGGGAGCAATACCTACGGAACGAGGGATGTGGCACGAGTGGGGAGCGCAGCTCGAGGAGTTTAGGGAGGCCTGCACAGGGGCGCCTGAGGTTATTTGAGACCAGATGACCTCGCGGCTCCTGGAGCCTCCAGCGCAGAGCTGGGGGTGGGGGCCTCCGAATCTCACGCCTCCACCGCGTCCAGTAGTCGGCTCAGGCGCCAGAGGGCGCGCGCGCTCTGGGAAGAGATGGGGCTTGGGCTGGTGGACTCGGAAAGGTTCCAGTTTTCACCCAGTTGGGAGGGACAAGTGCCTCTCCCAACTCTGGCTGAGCCCAAACCCGGGCCCTGCAAGATTTTTCTACGTTGGCCGTGGGCCTGTTGAAACTAAGTTCAAACTAAGTCAGGCAGGGGAGATTCTTGGATTTGTTGAATGTTTAAGTAAAACAAAATTGGCAGAGAGGGACTATACCTTTCTAAAAGGGTCATTTTGCGCAAGATGTTTTCTTCCTAAACTTACAGTAATGTGGACACAGTATTAATATATGGTAAGACCGGAAATTTAGGATAACGATGGGAATAAAACCTATCAGTATTGTGGAACTGAGGTCAAAAAAAAGTTTTCTATCGGCCGGGCGCGGTGGCTCACGCCTGTACTCTCAGCACTTTGAGAGACAGAGGCGGGTGAATCACTTGAGGTCAGGAGTTCGAAACCAGCCTGGCCAACATGGCGAAAACCCGTCTCTGCTAAAAATACAAAAATTAGCCGGGCATCGTGGCGCGCTCCGGTAATCCCAGCTACTCAGGAGGCTGAGGCAGGAGAATCACTTGAACCCGGGAGTCTTGCAGGTTGCAGTGAGCCAAGATCCAAGCCACTGCACTCCAGCGGGGGCGACAGAGACTCCGCCTCAAAAACAAACAAACAAACAAAAAAGTATTTATGGAGAATAAACAGCCTGAGTCTCCGCCCCACCCGACTCCCCGCCGTGAACAATTCGTAGCTTTGTCATATTCATCCAATAAAGTTAACACGATGGACTGCTAATGAAAGCAACGAATATTTCATTGCAATGTGTTTCACTTCTTTCTAATAATATGCAGAAAGGGGTCTACATCAGTGAAGAAAACTAATATTAAATAACAATCTAAATATGCACATAGCAATATTCTTGCTGTTGTTATTCACAACTACTCAGGAAAAAAAAAAAAGAAGCAACAAGTAGAAATGAAAGAAGTCTCAGCCACAGAATGGCAAGGAAAGTTATTTTATTTATTTATTTATTTATTTATTTATTTATTTATTTACTTAGTTAGTTAGTTATTTTCTGAGATGGAGTTTCACTCAGTCGCCAAGCTGGAGTGCAGTGGAGTGATCTCAGCTCAGTGACCTCCACCTCCTGGATTCAAGAGTCTCCTGCCTCAGCTCCAGGCGCACGCCACCATGCCCGGCTAATTTTTGGTCAAAAAGTTATATATATTTTTAGGGCCACTCTTTGCACCTCGTTTTAGAGACAGGTTGCTATTTACTAGCTTACTGACCTTGGGAAGGCCCCAACCTCTGAGCTACCACTTCCTTATCTGTAACATGGGGATCCAATGAGGTAATTAATGTAAGCCAGGGTAGCATTGTATGCTTATAACCAGACCCTAGTCACAATATGAGCTGCTTCTTGTACTGTATTCTGCAAAGTGCTGGAGAGTCCTTACAAAGAGCTTTTGAGCAAGATAATTTCTCAAATGATGATAGAATAACCCTTTCCCAGAATTTTTTTTCTAATGCATTTAGCTTTGCTTACTTTGTCAAAATTGCCTGAAGTATGTTGTTTCTTGATCGCCATTTTCTAAGTATCTGCATAAAATCTTGAGTGGCAAGGCACTAAGCAGCATTCCAGATGTGGCGACAAGTTGCTGGTCTGTATAGCTTACTTGCCCTTTTATTTACTAGAAGACATGTTCCCAACTAGAACATCTAGTTTCTAGCTGTACTTAGGAGAATCAAGATTAGTTGAGGATGTAGTTGAGAACCTTCTTATTAGTACACTTTTTTTTTTTTTTTTTTTTGGAGCGCAGTGGCTCAATCTCGGCTCATTGCTACCTCCGCCTCCCAGGTTCAAGCGATTCTCCTGCCTCAGCCTTCTGAGTAGCTGGGATTACAGGTGACTGCCACCACGCCCAGCTTATATATATATATATATATATATATATTTGTGTATTTAGTAGAGACAGAGTTTCACCATGTTAACCAGGCTGGTCTTGAACTTCTGACCTCAGGTGATCTGGCCTTCCAAAGTTCTGGGATTACAGGCGTGAGCCACTGCGCCCGGCCATCTGCACACTCTTAACCCAAAAGGAGCAGACAGGCAGATACTCTAACTAGATGGCATTAAAAGTTTCTTTATTTTGAGACAATTTCTACCCCAACACCTCAATATTAATTCTGCGCTCTTCAGGAACCACCCCAGGAGGGTGCTGAGGTTTAAATTCTCTAAGGCTGATTCATCCTTAGATGTTGTTTTAAGAAAAGTGTTTTACTCTTATCTCCAGAATTCTCCCTTACAGTAAAATTACAGCAGCAGATCTTGCATTAACTTGGTTTTGTTTCAGAGTATAACAAAAACATTCATATCTGAGTAATGTAGATTAATTTGTAAATATTTAAAATAAACATTTAACTTATCTTCTTAATCACACTTAGACGGCACAAATTTTCAACCCCACAACTCCTACATTCAGTCAATTTTCCTTTGCCTTTTTCCTTTTGCCTCCTGCTCTTCTTGGAGTGGGTGCACTATGATTTTAACAAACCAAGCAGGTTTTAGAGATGGCTGTGGGGCTAGATGTGTGATACTGGGCCAAAAGAATCACCTACTGTCTTCTTTCTTTAGCTACAAATCAGAGGAATACATACATATAAATAAAGATAGAGATATTTTATACATATTTATACATATATAGGCATATATATATAAAAAATATCATGGCTTTCTAGAAGGTTATGATATTAGATTTAGAAAAAAAAAAAACTCTCAAATTCCAAATAAAGAAAGTAGACTCTGTGAGTTCCAGAGATTATACCAACATTTACCTTGACATTCTTCTTGGAGGAATCAGTCCAGAGAAGGTGGGGGCAGCACTTAGGTGACCTTTTGGCTCCTGCATCTCTAGTGCCCAAACATTACATTTGTTTTAACAACAGCTTTTCCCAATTGGAATTTGTCATTAACCACAGCAGATATAGATAATATCAACCAGGTTGCCAGAGCCCCAAAGTTAAATGACCAGTAAAGCAGGATCCTGGTGATTCTGTTCTAGAGATCTAATCCATACACCACAACACAACCAGTTTTGATCCATGAAAAAGACTTCCCTGAGATGAAATGATTGCCAAACCATCCCTTCACCCGCACAATTACTTAAAAATAATATTTATATCATGTACTGGGTTTATGTGTCCAATATTTTATTGGTAAGTAAAAACCCCAGGCAGTTCATGCACTTTCATATTTGAGTTTTAACTTCAAAACTAAAAAGGAATTTTTTCGTAATTGCTCATGTGTTATCTCAGAACTTTCAGGATTAACAGTCTGCTATCATCACACTTAGTATCTGTAGTATGATGATAATAGGTTTTATGCAAGTGGTAGTTGATAAGTTCCTCTCCAACCTCAGGGAAGCAAACAAGGAAGAACAATGCAGAGCTAAAGTCATTGTAGTACAGACTTATGATGGCTTGTTATGTGGCACTTAAATAATTTTAACTTATTGATAATTAGTAGAGTCAAGAACAAGGATTATATACCTAAACCACAGATTAGGAGTTGTTAAAAATGACCAGGGCAGCCTCTGTTTCCTACTCACGAAATACACTTTGGGTATTTTTCTTTCATTCTGTGTAGCTAATATTTAAAAAACAACAGCTACAGCAAAACTTAACAGAACAAGATTCTGTTTTCAGTCTTCACTTTTACCCGGCCCTCTCTTTTCTTTTCTTTTTTTCTTGTTCTTTTTTTTTTTTTTGAGAAGGAGTCTCGCTCTGTTGCCAGGCTGGAGTGCAGTGGTGCCATCTTGGCTCACTGCAATCTCTGCCTCCCAGGTTCAAGTGATTCTCTTGGCTTAGCCTCCCGAGTAGCTGAGATTACAGGCATGTGCCACCACACACAGCTAATTTTTGTATTTTTAATAGAGTCAGGGTTTCACCATGTTGGCCAGGCTGGTCTTGAACTCCTGACCTTGTGATCTGCCTGCCTCAGCCTCCCAAAGTGCTGAGATTACAGGCGTGAGCCAAGGCACCCTGCCAGCCCTCTATTTTCTAGACAGAAGCAACTCATGTCATGACTGGGGTCTAGTCATAAGCGTACAATGCTACATTGGCTTACATTACCTCACTGGATCCCCAGGTTACAGATGAGGAAGTGGTAGCTCAGAGGTTGGGGTCTTCCCAAGGTCAGTAAGCTGATAAATAGCAACCTATCTCTAAAATGAGGTGCAAAGAGTGGCCCTAAAAAACATATAACGTTTCTTGCCATTCTGTGGCTGAGACTTCTTTTATTTCTACTTGTTACCACTTTTTTTTCTTCCTCAGTGGTTGTGAATAATAATAGCAAGAATATTGCTATGTGCATATTTCTTATTATGTGCATTGCCAGAAACAAACAGAAAAAAGACATAAATAAGTCAGAACCAAAGATCACTGTCTAGTAACAATACAGAAATGTAGAAGAGTACAGGAAGAACAAAAAGAAAGACT